GGAATGGTGCTTGCACAAGCAATAAGCTGGTTCAGCGTCCTGAACTAACAGCATAGTCACAGAAGCTACGTAAAAGCAGATGCTACAGCCTTAAAACGCAGAAGCCTGGACTGCCACAACTCACACAGCACACAGCTAACCTGCTGCAAAGTAGAAGACAGTGAAACATCACTACCTGCTGTAAGGCTTTCATGGTAACTGTTTGTGTGGTCTGGCAGACACTAAAAAACAATGCTGCTTATACATGAAGTTACTTAAACTGAAGCAGAATCTGAACATAATGCAGAATAACTATTCCTCCATGGCAAAGAAGCCTTACAGTGAACTGCCCATAAATGAGATCTGCTGTGGAGGAGGAAGCTGTATCCGATTCTTTATTGACAATTCCTTTTTTTAATGCTTTCCCTTTCAGAAAGGCTGCCACTAAATCCACACTACTCTCTGAATCCTTCTTAACTTCCCAGCCCCACAGTACACTGACAATGCCTTCCATGTTGAGAGCCCCAAAAACTGAGCAGGCGAAAAGAGAAGACAAAGATTATGAGGAGGCAAGTACAGAAAGTAACATGTAGGTAGTACTCAGTGGCTTTGATACAGACAAAGATCAATGTGGTATCAGGAACTTGGAAAAAATCCACAGCAAAGAAATTATTTATTTTTACATGTATCTATCATTTCCTTTTGATGTTATAGAACATGAAAGACACATTATTATGACTAAAACTGCATTACCAAAAATGCCACTCCAAGCTCTCCATGTCCTATCTGTTAGCATTCCAAAAAAGGTTTAGACTAGGAGGAAAAAAAAATCCCACACAACCCATTTCTTGTTCACATATTCAACTGCAATCAACATAAAAACCTTTATGTTACAAGACTAGGAAAGTCACTTCAAAAAAGTCACAGCTTCAGCACAGAATACTGTTAACATCCAAGGATCTGTATCATATCCTTGCAGAACACCAAACTCAACAAAACTCAACAAAACACATGGTACCAGCCAATCCATCTGCCTCATAATCACTTACTAAATGCATCACAAGACATGCAGTACAAATCTGCCTTTTTGATTTCATGCAGAGCACTCGAAGTTGTGGTTTCACAAGATGAAGCATTCAACACCAACACCAGGAATTCCCCTTCCATTTCCAAGAACCCTGTTTCTAGTCCAAATACATGCAACCGCTCACTCAGGCCAGCTGAGCTAGTTGAAAAATCTTGCAAAACATGTTCTCCTTCAAAACTACACCAGCTCCCCACCCAGTTCACACCACGACCGCATGAATCAGTTGTTCCAATGAAACAAGAGGGCAGCGAGTTCCAGGGCCAACACCACATGAAGCCATGGGACATCACCACATGCTGCTTCATGAAACAGACTATTTGATCGCTATGGCACTCAGTTCAACAGACCTTTCTTGCTCAAAACAACAGGGAGGCAGGGGGAAAGCGTGCTGGTAAGCTGCCAGCCACATCTATGCACATTACAAGGTTTAAAAACCTTGAGGCAAACACCAGCAAATACACTAATCACTTGTTCTTGTGCAGGTGATGCTGTCCCACACATTTCTGTTAGTTACAGACTGGACACATCTTCCACCAGAAGGGATTCTCTCTAGCATAGGTGATTATGTGAGAAGCTGCCCTTGCCAGTACTACTGTCTGTGTGGCTCTGCCATCAGCAGAATTGAAGAACAACCAAGGTTAAATATAACCATTTTCCTGAGTGATTTTTAACTTTGAGAAATTTCCCTATCAGGTTCACTGCAGGACAACCCAAACACTTGAAATGAGAAGGTATTGCAGGAGCAGTAGCTTCTTCAGTTCACAGTCGTGGCAAAACAAGGATCTATACATAACTAATCACTCACTTTCTCCAGTCCCAGGAAGGGAGAAACCCCTGCCCTCTGGGCCTTTTTTACATGAATTCTCATCGGACAACCCAGACTGGAATATATAATTAAGGCTGCTTAATGAACTCGTTTTGTCACGTGTTTCATAGAGAGCAGCAATGTAGACAACCTTCTTTTTCCGTTTTTTTTCCCCTTCATCTCACAAAAAACTTCAGCTGATCCACTCATCTCCTCCCTGTTTGTTCCTCAGACCTCCTCCTTTCATGTGCTCTCCACATTCCCATCTTTATTTCTGCTCACACATTCTTTCTTCTCACCCAGGTGAACCATTAACTAAAGTGAGAAGGTACATACCAAAACTTCAAGCAAAAAGCTGAACACAGAATTCATGGACCATCACACAACTTAGGTTATGTCCCTTTCCTATGCTCAACACAACTCCCTTCTCACACAGAAGCTGTACTGGGCAGGAACTGTACACAACCATATACTCAGTTTACCAACACACAACCCGGTTCAGATTTGTCCTTCGGGCATCACCAACATTTCAAAACACATTAAGGAAAGGCCTTTAAAAGGAAACTCCCAAGGCACCAGTATGCACCTGCTGTCTGTAAGGGCCACAGTAAAGTGATGCCCTGCAAGCGAGTGTATATTCACACTCCTAAATCACTGCTGTCTCCTGGAAAATCCTGGGAGAAGCCAAAGCTGTTCCTCAGCCTCAGTCATCTGAGCTCAAACTTCCTCAACCCTGAAACAGCATGGAAGACCTGCTTGGGCCTGCAGTCACACCAAATCTTGTACTGAAGGAGGCTTCTACGGACATCAAATGCACTACTTTCTCAAATTATAACCAAAATCATACACACTGACCACTGACATGTTCCATGCAGCGTCACTGAAATGTTCATTCACATGTCACTCTTTAAAAACTAAACCAAACCTAAAAGCTTAAATATAGTGTTGCAAGGGAAACCCAAGTGTGAAACAGCAACAAATTCAGACTTCTGTATCCAGCAGCTGTAACAAGGCACTCAAAATGAGTTATGTGAATGGTTCCATGCATTTAATGTTCAAGACCAAGTGTTAATGTCATCTTTACAAATATCACTTGGTTTTTGCAGGATGAACTGGAAGAGGTACACTCATGTAAGAGAGTGTATTTTCACAACTGTTAGGAACAACCTTCCCACAATTTAGAAAACTTTCAGATGATTCACCAGATATTTACTTTAATTACCTTCCTCTTCCACCTCCTACATCAGTCTCACTAAAGGCAAAACTGGGAGCTTATGGAAAGAAATAGGAACTTCCTGTATACAGAGCTCAAGTTTTTTTAGCCAATATATCGATTCTATTTCTCATTCATTAAACCTATTTGTAACAAACTCTACTTCTGGCTACCTTCACCTTACTCCAAGTAGCACAATAAACCAAGCCAAGATGTTTTCAGGTATCTAACACACAGCAATCACTTTGCATAAATCTGCTGCAGTCACTGTAAGCTCATCTCAGTGAATACAAATACATGTGTACTGTAAAACTGGATGGAGTGCAAGGAGGCGACATCACTTACAGACACCTTAAAAAACCCCTATGTCAATACACCTGTAACAAGAAGCACAGATCACACACACACATCTATGTGCACTTCTTGAAAAGACACTAAATGGAGACATTTTACTTCTACTTTTTCACAGCAAGAATTAAAAGTTTAAGACTACTGTCATCTCTTTGTGTGGCATTAACCTTCATTTTTTTGGTCAGTGGAAGTAATGTTTTAATCTCTCGCTGTGAGCTTCCATCAAAACATTTATCAGCATTGTTACTGCTCAGAGAAAAGAGTTACAGTTTGCAGGGCAAACACAAACCCAAAGCTTTACTCTGTTAAGGTTTGTATGCCTTACTCATGTTTATTTCCACAAAGTTACACAGCATTCGAGGGCACTTTTGTTTGCTTGTTTTGATGAAACAGTAGAAGAGCCACAAGGGATTAATCTAACAGGATTAATGACTTTACAGACAGTTTAGAAAGTGAAGCATCAATTCTGAGCACCATGACAGTTTTCATGGCTTTAACAGACACACATCATAGTATTTCTTTAATGAATACTGCAACAGTTTAATCCTGGAACACCTTAAGTGATGTAAAACCACAACCAATCAACAGCAAAACTGTCAT